ATGTAATAAAAATGGAGAATTCTCTACTTTTCATTTTTGACAAAATTTGGCCCATGATCCTGTACAGGGACTTTTGTCCGATTTTGAGTAACTTAAAAAATTCGTAAAAAATCCAAACTTGATCGGAATCAACTCAAACTTTCTACGCAACATAAGAACATGTATATGTATCAGATAATCTCATTAAAATGATTATTATTACTAATAATTATTATTATTTACTTATTTCAGGTGCCCTGTAGAACCTGCTCACAAGATAAGGTGTAATCTCATTATCCTGTATGAATGATGCTGATCCAAAATCACACAACTTTAACATCAACTTGGACTCATTCACCTAATGTAAAAATAATAATAATGAATGAATATAATAATAATAATAATAATAATAATAATAATAATAATAAATGTCGACATTAAATAATAAAAATTAATATATTTGTCATTAATGCATGTACATGTACATTAAAGACTCACCAGTATGTTATCTGGTTTGATGTCTGCATGAAGTATAGTGCATCTCTTCATCAGCTTCAATGCTAACAGCAACTGTTGACTGTATGACCTCACTGCCTTGATATGGAGACCAATGTTCTTACCATACTTCCTTAACACCTCACGAATATTCATACTATAATATATAAATAAACAAATGAATAAATAAAATACTAAATGTACATGTAGCTAACAAAATCTATAATTAGTTAATTATGATTAGTTATTATAATTAATTAATGGGTGTGGTTAGTTATTACCTCATGGATTCAAATACCAAGCAGAGGTGATTCTTGTGAAAGAAGTTACTGAATAATCGAATGCAATGGAACTTGTCATCAGGATCAGTCGCATTTAACTTCTTTAATATTTCCAACTCTGCCATGCCAGTCTTGTGCCTTATAAGGAAGAGAATAAGTACATTAATATGTATCAGGAAATGTAATAAAAATTTGGGGTGATTTCGGAGCCATTTTTTTGAAAAAACCATGGGCTATATATAGCCTTGTGTATTTTTCAGATTTTTGTCGTTTTCTTAAAATGGCCGTAACTTGAAAAATTGAAGTCAGAATCAGCTCAAACTTTCTACACAGCATAAGGGCATCAATATGTATCAGGAAATGTAATAAAAATTTGGGGTGATTTTGGAGCTATTTTTTTGAAAAAACCATGGGCTATATAGCCTTGGGTATTTTTCCAGATTTTGGCCTATTTCTTAAAATGGCCGTAACTTAAAAAATTGAAGTCGGAATCAGCTCAAACTTTGTACATACTACATGTACTTTAATTATTAATTAGTAGGTGTGTTTAGCCATGCCTACTCACATCATCTCGTTGTTCCTGATTATCTTAATGGCTACTTCTTGACTTGATCTTGAGGTGTCCCTAGCCCTCACTACATTACTGAACACTCCCTGACCAGTGTACCCATAGACCATGTACCGTCTGTCCAGTTGCTCACCAATACGCACCCCTAGTGGAGAGGAAGAGAGAAAATATACATACATACATGTATACATGTACACTGTACATGCATCATTATTATTACTAATAAATAAATGCAAGATAAATAAAATGATTATACATGTACATGTTAAGTAATAAGCTTGAGGCTATATGTTCTATTATAATATATTTACTTGTCAATTTTTATACAATACACATGTACTGTATTTATGTATTATTATTTAAAATGTATCACTACTTTTAACACTATAGAGTTGAGGTTGCTGTTGATTCCACAGAAGTTGCTAAATATGCCACCAATCCTCCATTAATAATAAAAATATAATTCATTATAATACATGCACAGCTATCACTATGAAATAAATAATAGATTAATACATGATTAATAGGTGGTACAAACCGTACAGTGTATACATGTATACATGTAAAAATTAATTAAATTAATTAATGTTAGATTAATGCACTAACTGTAATATCCTTCAGCATCATCCCAGTTATCAGTTAAGTGATCATTCTCTCCGATACCATCAGCTAACAGTGCCTTACTCGGACTCTGGAGGGATATACATGTACATGTACATACACCAGAGAGGAGGGAGGGAGAAAGAAAGGGAGAGAGAAAAAA